TGACAATCACCCATAAGGACAGGTCCCATTTTTATAGCATCAAATTACTAGCTAAAATCAAACTTATCACAAAAACGAACAATTGAACATATATCAGCATGATAACAACTACATTAAATGACTAAAACCATCTTTAGGAAAATTGTATTGGAAGTGTAATTTATTTTTTTATTTTGACTCAAGTCCCATTCGTTTACATGGAGAGGGCGGGGTTTATGACCTGTACTGCAGCCAGCCACCAGAGGGCGATCAAAGAGCCCGCAGCTTCACTTTTCAGGGCATGTGAGGCACACTCAGTTGTGCCCCATTGACCAAACCAGCCAAATTGTGTGGTCAGATGAACTTGGGTCGGCACCAGACTCTATTGTGAAAATAGCCAAACTGCTCTTGATGCACTGAGAGTATCTCCTCACCCTCTGTGTGTTCTGCTCTCTCTGTTTCTTGTCTCGCTGTCTTTCTTCCTCTCTGTTGTTTCAAAACAGTGTCATTTATCTTTGCAATTGGGTAATTCTCGGGTGCGTGTAATTTATTTTTTTATTTTGACTCAAGTCCCATTCGTTTACATGGAGAGGGCGGGGTTTATGACCTGTACTGCAGCCAGCCACCAGAGGGCGATCAAAGAGCCCGCAGCTTCACTTTTCAGGGCATGTGAGGCACACTCAGTTGTGCCCCATTGACCAAACCAGCCAAATTGTGTGGTCAGATGAACTTGGGTCGGCACCAGACTCTATTGTGAAAATAGCCAAACTGCTCTTGATGCACTGAGAGTATCTCCTCACCCTCTGTGTGTTCTGCTCTCTCTGTTTCTTGTCTCGCTGTCTTTCTTCCTCTCTGTTGTTTCAAAACAGTGTCATTTATCTTTGCAATTGGGTAATTCTCGGGTGCGTGTAATGCATTGTTTCATTCAAGCCTCGCATTGAGGATGACAAAGTGCTGCTGTTTTGTTTAATAGTCACTTGAGTGAAGGGCTCTTTCAGAGTCTCGCAGCTCATTGCGGTCTTGATTCAAAAGCTCAAATAAAGCCGCTGACTGTATCTGCTCTGTTCGGCCACACATCAACCAGACCTCCATGCTCTTTGAAGGGGGAATCATGATAAAATGGGAGGTTGCTCAGGCCGTATGAACTGCTGTTGATGCATTTGATAGGTCTGTCCTCTCGATTTAATGGCGGAGAAAAAGTAGCCAGTTGCACTTTTATTGGCTGCGTACATACTGTTAAGTTTCAGGAGTGACACCCCATTTATATACAGAAGTGAATCGCCTAAATTACAGATGATTGACACCATGGTGACCATAGAAACATTTTTCTGCCTCGCGATATCTGCAATTTTTAAACCAAGTAAAATTACATAAATATTTGGAAGGTAATAATTTGGAAGTAATATCTGGAAGGTTGCTTTGCAGTGCACACTCTTGAAGGGTTGCCATGTCCAGTTATTATAAGCAACGCTTATTAAGCATCTTTTGGCTTGTTGTTTGGGCTCGGCTCATAAAGCATTCCATTTTATGAAGTTAAAGGGGTCATATGATGCTTTTTTAAAGATCATTATTTCCACATAGTGACCTAGATATGTGGGGGCGTGTTAGAACGAGCCGTTTTAGGGGGGTGTGGCAGAGTCTTAACTTTGATAAAGAATATCTCTTTGGTTTTGAGACTTTAGTCTTTGCAACTTCAGGGATCTTATCTATTCACGAACAGCTTGTAACACTCCAAAGAGAAAGGAAAACTTGAAATCGCACCATATGACCCCTTTAATAAAGTAGGAAGGTGCAGGTTGTTATATTTTGGCATGTGGCTTATTTCCACAATAACCTGTTTGCATTTAAGTTCCTTATGTGGCTTATTCTTATTTGTTGTTTTTTATAGCAAGATCTGGCAACACTAAGTCAAGAAGTATCTCATTCCCCATCATTTCTTGCATTGTAATTCTGATACACAAAGTTGGTTAAATGAAAATGTAACCAACTAAAGCGTTGCAACCATAGTAAAGTTTTATTTTTCTGTCTTGTGGTATCTTCTATTTTTAACCAAAAGAATAGTACATAAATATTTGGAAGTAATATTTGAAAGGTTGCTTTGACGAGCACGCTCTTGAAGGTTTGCCATGTCCACTTATTATTATTATTATTATTATTAAGCATCTTTTGGCTTGTTGTTTGGGTTCGGCTCATAAAGCAGTCCATTTTACGAAGTTAATAAAGTAGGCAGGTGCAGGCTGTGAAATTTTGGTATGTGTATGTTGGTATTTCCACTAACATGTTTGGAAGTTTCTTATTGGAAGTTGCTTACATGTTTGGAAGTTGCTTATGTAGCTTGTTCTTATTTGCTGTTTTTTTTATAGCAAGATCTGGCAACACTGAGTCAAGAAGTATCTCATTCCCTGTGGGTTATTCCCAAATTTCTGTAATGTGGTTGTTACTACTTGAATTGTTTGGGAGTTAATTTGGTTGTTGAATGCGGTTGTCACTTCTGTAAATTACTGACCAGGATTAAGAACTGAAAGATGAACTGAATTTAGCTGCAGTGTGTACGTGGCCATTGTTTAGGAGGCTTAATTGAGTTCTCATTTATTTCATTTAACCAACTTTGTCTCAGGTTATTTTCCTAAAATTCCATAATAAATATTTGATATTCCATTTGATAATTGAACCTGTCTGAAAATCACACTTGCTCTAGTGTTTGCAAGGAAAATATAAGGACTTTTTTCCTCTTTTTTTAATTTTTTTTAATTTTTTGGATAGATAGATAGAAGTTACATGTAAGTTTGCTGTTAAAACATGCTAGTTTAACATTAAACTGGTTGGAAACATGTTAGCAACATCCTAATTCATGCTAGCCATAAACATGTTAGAATCATACTAATTCATGTTAGCCATGTGTTAAAACATGTTAGAACATGCTAATGTATGTTAGCATAGTGTTACAACATGCTAAGAACAAGCTAATTTGTGTTAAACATGCTCAAATGTTAATATATGTTGGCATAGTGTTAAAACATGCCAATTAACATTAGAAACATGCTTAAAGATGCTAGTAATTGTGTCAAATCATACTAGAAACTAGCTAAATCATGTTAGCAACATGTTAATTCACATTAGCATAGTGTTACTACATTTTGGGAGCTTGCTAAATCATATTAACAAAATGTTAGAATCATATTAACAACATGTTAAAAGATGTTAGCAATGTGTTGAATCATGCTAATGCATGTTATCAACACACACACACACACACACACACATATATATATATATATATATATATATATGTAGATGCCTCATTAACGACTGTTTCTATGGGCCGCGATACGTAAGCCATCCGCCATTTTTGGAACGGTCTGCGAACCCAGCGCAAGTTGACTGTATGCGTCTAGAACAGCAATTTATACGCTTGTATATCTTTGAATATGCATTGATTATTATGGTGAATGACGTCAAGTTGACCGTTCCAAAATGGCGGACGCGTCAACGTATCTGGAGCGGTCGAATGGGGTATCTATACATATCTATGGTTAGCAACATGTTAAACATGCTAGAAACATGTTAGCATTGCTAAAAGATGTTAGCAAAGTGCAAAATCATGCTAGAAATATGCTAGCAACTTGTTAAATCATCATAGCAAAATGTTAAAACAAGTTAGCGACTTGCCAAAACATGTTAGCAATTTGTTAAAACATGCTAGCAGCCATTAACGGATCATGTTAAAACATGTTAGTAACATTTTATGAGAAAAACTTTTTCAAAGTATTTGTAAACTTTCAGAACCTGACTTTGTCAAGCCAACATCACAGTTTGTCATCAGTCATTTTCTTTTTAAGGAAAACAAGGTTCGATTTTTAAATCTGCCTATTTTAATGCAAATAAACACATTATTAATAGTGCTTAGTTTAGTTTTTAATGACGTCCAGATCTAGTATGACTCTGAAAAGTGTTTGTACACCTTCAATTTGGCCCCCAAAACAAGGTAGATGAAGAGTCCTAGTGTGGAAGAAATAGACAACAGCTTTGTATGTTCCAGTTTTACAGCATGTACACACACACACACACACAAAACACACACACGTTCACTCTCAGTAAATCAGCAACACACTCCTACACAGCCTGACTCACGTCATCCACCTCCCTCTCCTCACACACCGGTACATTTCCTTCAGCCTATCTCACCACACAACTGCCAAAAAGCACACTCCAGTCCGCCCTCACCCTTGAGAGCAGTTTTTAAGTGTGTAGTGTTAGCTAGAGCTTCCTGTGTCAGTAAAACAGGGTTTCGGTACGCAGGAAAAGCATCATGTCTGCTGTTTCAAAAGACGTTGATGCACATGAACACTTCTGCAGACTGAAAAGAGTTTATAGCATCAAGAAGGAGCCTTTATTTCATCCGTTAGTGTGTCTCTCTTTACCTGTAAAGGGTCTCTGTTTTGGGTGACGGTGATTGTCTTTCTCAAGTCCCAAGTTACTTTTATCTTATTTTTGAACATGTTTGAATGCTAACCCTTTAGTTTTCGTTGCAGATAAGATAAATCCAAGGGTGAATCTCATGAAATACAGGTGTATCTCAATAAATTAGAATGCCGTGGAAAAGTTCATTTATTTCAGTAATTCAACTCAAATTGTGAAACTCGTGTATTAAATAAATTGAATTACTGAAATAAATGAACTTTTCCACAACATTCTAATTTATTGAGATGCACCTGTATGTCTACGTCATATTTTACTCTCAAATCAAAGAAAGAATTGATTAGTCAAACTTTGACCACTTGATTACGACAGATAAAATTTGGGGATAAAATATGCTTTATTATCATGAAAATATTGTCACAAAATTTTTTTTTTTTTAATTTATTAAAATGTTCAGAAATTTAAAAACAAAATCATTAATTTCTTTAAATAAACAAATTGATTGTTTTCCCTTTTGATTTGGGGGTTACATTTGAGAATTTGGGGAATAACATGTATTTTTATCATGAAAATAATGTTAAAGTGCCCCTATTATGGGGTATGAAAGGTTCATATTTTGGTTTTGGGAGTCCCCAACAACAGGTTGACATGCATGCAAGGTCAAAAAACACTTCCATGGTCTTATAATATGCATTTATTTTTTACCTTACTTGCTCAACGACTCCCAAACGACTCGCTCAACGATTAATTTTTCCAAACCGCTCCTTTGCGTGACGTTAATCTGTGGTGATTGGTCCGATTGGTCTCATTTTCATTTCATCATGCCTGTAATGCCTGATAAAGCAGCATTTGTGAGCTCAGTGCTGCTTTGTGTACAGTGTTACCAGGGAAACTGCTATTTTAACTCCAAAAGCGGCACCTAGTGGCAAAGAATGAATTTGCATTTTCATTCAGACCAACGCCAAAATCAAGTTTTCCCAGGTCTACGCATGCAACAAGTGGGCGGGCAATATGCTAACGTTCATGTTGACGTCAACATGAAACGGCTTGGGATCAAGCGGCAACCTTCCGGGCTCTCTCGTGAAACCAACACGGAAGTGACTTAAACTGCAATTCATCGACTGGCCGCTAGAGGCTGGCTCCAAAAGGGAGTCAGTCCCATAGACTCCCCATGTTAAAATGCCCAACTTTACAGCAGAAATAAATATGTTTACAGCCTGGTACAAAAAGTGGTTTTGGTCTATATAGCTAATTTTGCCCTTCATGACAGCTGTGAGGGGGGTGAATTTTTTTATAACTCATCCGTTTAAAGCAGCACTATGTAACTTTTGGCACTCTAGCGGTGAATAAACAGGACTGCACACATCCCGCGGAAGAACATTCCAAGCGGAGCTACTTCTCTAAGTTTATGTCTATGGTGATTCACGCAGGTATGTGTTACTCCGCAGCGGTGACGACCTGACCAGGCTACAATAGTCCAAATATAAGTACTTATTATAAGTGTACCGTAGTGATTCGGAATAAGACAAAAACGCGGTTTGGAAGATGAATTCATGATGTACTCGCTCATTATATACATTTTGCAAATTTTGAACACAGAAAAAGTTACATAGTGCTGCTTTAAATTATATTAAGCCTTAAAGTTCTGCATAATTAAGGGCGTGGCCACTTGAGTGACAGGTGGATTGCCACTGCTGTCACAACCGTCGAGCTAGGTGGGTGTGGTTTCAGCAACCAGCTCCCGCCTCTTTGCCCATTTTCAATTATCCGAGAGTGACACGCGGTGACGCGCTGCCAATATGGCGACGGCCGGCTCCGCCCTCTTTGAGCTTCAAAAACGCTCTTCAGAAACCTACGGGCGACGTCACGGACACTACGTCCATGTTTTTATACAGTCTATGCTTGGGATTTGTTTTAAAATCGACTTGTTTCAATGATTCAGTCGACTCTTTCTTTTGAGAGACAATAACTTTATACACGGTGCACTTTCAGATTTAAAACTTTGCAGGATGTTTTCATTCACTTAGAGCTGTGTTACACACTGCATGAAAGGTAATTTTCAAAAATCCATAATAGGGGCACTTTAATGTAATTTATAAAATAAATTAATTTTTTTCTTTTAATTTGGGGGTTAAATTTGGTCTAAAATGATGTAGGAAGATTCATCCTATATATAAAATTATGCCAAATTATAAGACAATTCAGGAGGTAAAATGTTGTCATGAAATTAAAATCTTAATTAGATCTTAATCTTAATTAAATTAATTAATGTATTTTTGATTATTTTATTTTCTTTCTTTTGATTTGGAGTTGAAATTTGATGTGGACATGATGTAGGGAGATTCATTCTGTAGATAAAACTCTTTGCCACACTTTTATGAAAATTTACAAGACAGTTTTTAGGAAGAGTGAGTCACTTAAAATATTTTATTATGCTTGGCATCAATCTTTGACATTAATTCAGGGGGAAGATGTCCTGTTATATTATTAGTAGCTCCCTGTAATCGGCCTGCATTTCCTGCCTGTGCCTGTGCACGAGAGAATGGCGTTGCTCAGACTAACATGCGCCCCCTGCTGTTTGCATGCAGTCACTGCATCCAGCAGATCCTGGAGGCGGTGCTTCATTGCCATCAAATGGGCGTGGTGCACCGAGATCTCAAGGTGAGTGACAGGTGATTCGTTCATCTCTGCGTGTATCGTGCATGCTTTTGTGTACAAATATGCTATGTGTGATGTGCGATTATGATGAGATGGTTAATATTCAGTAGGGGGCGTGGCTTAAAGAGAGAGGCCACCCAAAACTGAAAATTGTGTCATTTACTCGTGCTCATGTCATTCAAAACCTGTATGGAACACAGGAAGAGATGTTGTGAAGAATGTGGGTTTGTGGTACCCGTTGACGTCCATAGTATTTTTCCATACAGTAGCAACTGTTTGGTTATTTGCATTCTTCAAAATTTCATCTTTTCTTAAGCAACTCGTACAGGTTGAACAACATGAGGGTGAACGAATGATGTCAGAATTTTCTTTTTCGGGTGAACTGTCTTTTATACTCGCTATCTGATTTGGCATGATATTTTGTGTGCATGGATGTCTATGTCTGGCATAAAACTTTAAATTGTGCTATTATTTCAGATTACATTTTTTATTGTTGATTTTATGTCAATTTCTTTGTGATTTGTTTGAAGACACACAGGTTAGAATGGAATCACTTTCACCAATATAATTAAATATAATCAGGAACGTCTAGAAATACAGTAAATAGGGTCAGGTTTGATTTCATGTTGCTTCTTTTTTCCAATCCTGCTTCCGATTTGAAGTCGCTTTTTATATTTTAAAGAATCAGGTTATACAAATCTCAGTCTGGATGCGTTTCCAGCGTCATTTTCCCCGGATGCAGCTCAAGGTCATTGAGCATTTCGCACCATCCTACGGATTCTCAATCAGAACGCTTTTCAAACCATGAGCCCGAAACGTCCAGATGCCATCTGAGCTCCGCGAATAGCTCCAGCAGATGGCAACGGCGGCTAAGCGTCAGAACACAGACACCGTTCGTCTCTTTTCAGAGCGGCATCTGTAGCGCGATGAGGACGACAGGAAGATAGAGATCAGAGATTGAGACTGAATAAGTTTCCCATGATTCTTTGCTCCTCTGGACCCAATTTCCCACCTGGCTCAACTTCCACCAGAGCAGAGGGAAGATAACCTACTTAATAACAGCACACACACTCACGCTGAACGTTACGTGGAGGTGTGAATGTGCGTGTTAAGTGGGATGATGTATTATTAACCCTTATGTCAAAATGAGTGACAGTAGGTTATGTGAAAAAATGAAATCAAAATTGACTCTGTGTGATTTATTGATACCTTTGGTTAAATGTTCCGTTTAATTTTTTATGCAGGTTCAAAAGTTTGGGGTCTGTAAGATTTTTTTAATGTTTTTGTAAGAAGTCTCTTCTGCTCACCAAGGATGCATTTATTTAATCAAAAATTCAGTAATATTGTGAAATAGGATTACAATTTAAAATAAATGTTTTCTATGTGAATATAATTTAAAATGTGATTTATTCCTGTGATGCAAAGCTGAATTTTCAGTATCAGTACTCCAGTCTTCAGTGTCACATGATCCTTCAGAAATCATTCTAAAATGCTGATTTGATGCTCGGTAAACATTTGTTGTTATTATTATCAGTGTTGAAAATGTTGTGCTGCTTCATATTTTTGTAGAAACAGTGATGCATTTTTTTCAGGATTCTTTGATGAATAAAAAGTTCAAAAGAACAGCATTTATTTGAAATCTTTTGTAGCATAAAGGTCTTTCCTGTCAATTCTGATCAATTCAATGCATTCTTGCTTAAAAAAAAAAAAAATCTTAATGACCCCAACTTTTTCAATGGTCTTATATGTCCATATTTCTTTATTTCTTTTTTTATGATCAACATTAAATCAAAATCAGCCCTAGTGTCTGTCTTGATATCTTTGGTTGAATGTTGTCAGTGTTGTGTGTAAATATCTGTGGCGGTAAATTGTTGTGCGGATGCCGTTTCATGTTGACATGAAGGAGAAAAACGAAGCTAATTTCCCGGAATTCTGTATAAGACATCATTGAGACCACTGAGAGCCCGTTCTGTCAATCAAATTGACTGTGTTCAGCTAAAGATAATCCAGTCCAGTCTCAGAGGAGGGTGCTGTAGGGAACACTGCGATTGAATGACAGTAAAGTACAACTTTAAAATGCTCTTCAGGATGAATAACATTCTTCTGCGTAATGCTACTATATCCTGTATTAATTAACTTTAGGTCGATAGCAAACTAATGTAAACTAACATTCCCTAGAGCTATAACAAATGTTTGCACACACAGGTGTGTAAAATCAGTGGTTCTCAACCTTTTTGACTCCAAGGCTTCCCATCGTCCAAAAAATATTCAGTTTATAGGTGAAGATATTTATGGTACTTCTGCTATAATAGGGCCTTTCGCACCGCTTTAGTTCCAGAACTAAATGTACCTAAGAAGTGACGTAAGCCGGTCGACAGCGTCGTCATTTGTGCGCGGCGTTCAACAACAGAAACAAAGAAGAACAACATTAACAACAGGAGTATGGAGGACGCTGTGATCGGAGCTGTGTTTTTGTTGTGTCTCGCGGGTTTCACAATAATGGACATGTAAAGTCGACGTATACATAAAGCGATTGAAAGAAACGGAAAGGAGGACTAAGAATCTCCAACGACAACTGGCAGTGCTACATTTGCTACAAGTGCCTGCACTTCAGCGTCCGTCCATCTATCGCTGTTCTCCATACTTGCGAAATAAGTTGACACAATGTTTACAGTTTGTTTACACAGCGTTTTAAATCATGGCGGGTGATGGTGTTTTCATACGCGTTTGGCCAATCAATGTCTACTTACGTCACGATTAGTACCAGTTGTGCTGGTTAGACCCTGCTCCAGAGTAGGAGCTAATTTGGTTCTCGAAAAAGGCAGTCCGGTACTAAAATCGCTCCCAGTTCCGGCGGTGCGAAAACGCCAAAATGTGCGTAGTTCCACAATTAGTTCTGGTACTATGAAAAGGTTCCCACGGTGCGAAAGGCCCTAATGACAAAGCTACTTGTTTCGAAGTACTGTAGCTTACTTCTTTTATTTACGCATGTATTTATTTATTTTTGCAAAGTGTTATTTTATTAAAATTGGGAAATAAATAAAAATTGAAATAATAGAATTCCATAATTCTGAAAGTTTCAAGAGCGGAGTGCTGTTCACACTCTTAATGAGCCATGAATTTACATGACTTTTCCAGTCATTTGTGAATACAAGTTATGGTTAATTTTAATGTAATTTCTCATATATTTTTACATGATAAATTATATTAGGTATTGACATGACTATATTTAAATATTTATATTTCCATGATTTTATACATTTCCAAGTCTAGAAATTAAAACAACCCTCATATATCCAGGTTTTTTAAGACCATGGGAGCCCTGGTTCTTTAAAAATACAATAAAAATTTTAGTTGTTGGGAACAAATTAAATTAAGAATATATATATTTTTTAATTATTGTAAAGTGTGTTGAGGCCTCCTAGTAGGTCCTAACCAACGTTATCATTAAATAAACTAAAAGTAAAACTATTATATTATTTTTGTTAATTAAAATAAAACTGAAATATAATAAAATATAAATATTAGATAAAAAAAAAAACATGTTTTCTAATTTTCATTTTGTTAAAGCACAAAAAATTACTAACTGGGAATAAATAACCAAAATTGAACTAAAACTAATGGCTGAAATAAACATAAACGTAATAGTAATATTAGTGGTAATAATAGTAATAATGGCATAAAAAATGTCAAATGCACATAACAATGACCAAATTTAACCAAAATTATAATGAAAAAAAAAAGAATAAATAAATTATAATTAGTGCTGTCAGACGATTAATCGCGATTAATCGCATCCAAAGTAAAAGTTTTTGTTTACGTAATATATGTATGTGTACAGTGTTTGTTTATTATGTATATATAAATACACACACATTCAGTATATATTTTGAAAATATTTACATGTATATACATTTATATATTTATATTATTATATTTTATATTATATATAAATATATTTAATATATAAACATAACATATTTTTCTTAAATATATACATGCATGTGTTTGTATTTATATATACATAATAAACATACACAGTACACAAATACTATGTAAACGAAAACTTTTATTTTTTTATGCGATTAATCGCGATTAATCATTTGACAGCACTAATAATAATAATATAAACTATAATAGTGTATAAATAATACTAAAATAACACTGGTTCCAGCTACCTGATTGAGAACCAATGGCTTAGCATCATTTGTCATCTGTATTTTGGTTGTTAGATGTTTTTCTTGACAATTGAATGCCTGCAATGCTAACCGTAGTTATTTTATTTCAGAGAATCAACCATTGGTCCATTTGGATGATCAAAAGTCATAGATATCAAGCTCACATATGATTTTAAATGTACAGCAGTAGAACATCACAGGAAATACGCTTCTAGCGAACTCTACCAGTGACAGAACACGGCGCCCAGCACAGCTTATATTTTGGGAGTTGATTCTGTTTGTATGCTGTATCTGTTGCGCAGCTGTGCTTGTATGTTATGTGTTCGATTTTAAAAGGTGACATGTATCAGATTTGGGTTCAGCAGTAATATGAGTGCACCCCTGATCTCCCCTTCAGCCAGAGAACCTGCTCTTGGCCAGTAAATGCAAGAACGCCGCCGTCAAGCTGGCCGACTTTGGCCTGGCCATTGAAGTGCAAGGGGACCAGCAGGCCTGGTTTGGTACGTGGTCGTTTTGAACTCTCCCAAAGCAAAAATTCCAGACCGTTTTGCCTTATTTGTTTAATTTCGCAACTTCCAAGCACATAATCTGCCACCCAAATGGTTTTCTCCAACATACAATGTTGGAAAGAGCCTGGATGTTGCATTTTCAGATGTGTATTTTTGCTTTCGCATGCAGGGTTCGCTGGAACGCCAGGTTATCTTTCCCCAGAAGTGCTACGGAAGGAGGCTTATGGGAAACCTGTGGACATTTGGGCATGTGGTGAGTCACACGCTCCCTCCCGATAGAGTTCTTTGCATCTATTTCTAACTTCTTTCTCTCTCGACGCCCCGCACATATTCAGACACATCAGCTCTCAGATGTGGAGAGCTCTTCTCCGGCAGGTGTTGTCAAGAGGCTGTTGCCAAGCGCCGCTTTCACCGGCGTGTTTCACATTCACTTTCTCTAGAGCATCGATAGTTGAGCGGTTTAATTACTTTGCAGATCAGTAGGTGGGTTGGTGGTTTTTTGGTCTGGGGTTGGGAATTTTGATTCATTTCGGTGAAGTGGTTTATTAGGATTGTTTGTATATCAGTGAACCAGTTCATGGATTCATAGGAGTCATTCTCAAAATCCAACACTCTAAAGAGAGAGAAATTAATTTCAACTGTTTATCACTAGGCCGCGTGATGTTTAGCAACAATTTTTAACCCACCTGGCAGGTTTAGTCTCCAAACAAATTTCTGCCTTACAGTCAAATGATTCACACATGCTGAGTTATTACAAAGAACCAGTTCAAAAAAATAATTCATTCAATTCTCGTTTCTGAATGAATCGTTCATTTGAACCGGTTCATTATTTCTCAATAGAATTAAACAATTATTATTATTTTCTATATTTTATATTTTAGTTTATTTAATATAATTTCCACATATAACTATATACACTGCTGTTCAAAAGTTTGGTATCAGTAAGATTTTTTTATGTTTTTTTAATGTTTTTAATGTTTCTTATGCTCATCAAGGCTGCTTTTATTTGATTCAAAATACAGAAAAAGCAGTATTATTGCAAAATATTATTACAATTAAAAATAATGGTTTTCTATTTTAATATCATTTAAAATGTAATTAATTTCTGTAATGCAAAGCGCTGAATTTTCATCATTATTACTGCAGTCTTCAGTGTCACATGACCCTTCAGAAACCTTTCAGAAAAAAATTGTTTATATATTATATTATATTTTTCTTTGTGAGCCTGTAATGCTTTTTTCTGGATTCTTTGATGAATAAAAAGTTAACAAGAACAGCAATTGTTTAAAATATAATCTTTTCTAGCAATGTAAGTCTTCACTATCACTTTTTATCAATTTAACACATCCTTGCTAAATAAAAGTATTGATTTCTTTCAAAAAACAGAAAGTTTTACAGAAATTTTCTGACACCTGGTTGTGTATTTTGTGTATACGTTATTACAAAGAACCAGTTCAAAACAATGATTTATTCACAAATTAGACTTCAATACAAGTGCTTTAAGTGATTAAACCATACAATTTACATTTGTTAATATATTTCTATTATTTATATGTTATTTATTATAATATAGTTGTATTATTTTGGAAATTAGATAAGTTATATTAAGAAATAAACTTGGACATCATTAAAATTGTAGCCGTTTTGATAATGTTTGGTGTTTAAATTAAGTTTATATTTTTTATAGAATATGTTTATATATGTATATGTTTCTTTATGGAATTGATATGTGTATTTATTATTACATTTAGGGTTGTTTTAGGTGTGCCTAAATGTCTGCGTTAGTACTTGAAGAGTTGTGAGAACACAAAGAATGGCATAGAATCTGTTAGAAGTGAAATATCTATACTGTGATTGCAGGAGTCATCCTGTATATTCTGCTGGTGGGATATCCTCCGTTTTGGGATGAAGACCAGCACAAACTCTACCAACAGATCAAAGCTGGGGCTTATGACGTGAGTCCCCTTGTGATTTCACTCATACAGTACAACTGGCTGAGTCAATACATACCCATGAGTTCCCATGTTTCCTGTAGTTCCCCTCGCCAGAGTGGGACACGGTCACCCCTGATGCCAAAAACCTCATCAATCAGATGTTGACCATCAATCCAGCCAAGAGAATCATGGCCCAGGAGGCTCTGAAACACCCGTGGGTCTGCGTGAGTATTAGCAGCCACCGACCAGCACAAAATACCAGAATACATACACTATTGTAAAAATTAAAGGATGTTTGTGGGCTATTGCTACAAATATACCCCAGCGACTTAAGACGGGTTTTGTGGTCCAGGGTCACATATTACTTCTGAGATGATATATTTCATGCTAAAACAAAATATTCACAATATGAAATGTGGCAGGACTTCATTATTCCCTCCTTTCCTTTAATAAAAACCTGTTTCCCGCAGCAACGTTCCACTGTGGCATCCATGATGCACAGACAGGAAACAGTCGAGTGCCTGAAGAAGTTCAACGCAAGAAGGAAACTCAAGGTCTGCTGATGTCTCTTTTAAAAGTCATTAGCTGGAAGCATTTTATCTGCAACCCACCACTTGATGCTCTGTTAACGTTACGATCTCTTTCTCACGTGTAGGGAGCGATATTGACCACCATGCTGGTGTCGCGCAATTTCTCTGGTAAGTTCACATCAAGCCTGATGCAAAGATATTGTGTCCTGAAAGACAAATTGAAGACATGTATAATCATTCGACTATTTGAACTATTTGACTTCTTGAGTAGAGGAATCAAAACCACGAATCATTACATGAATCAGACTTCTAAATTTATTCTAAAAGCATCAACACAAACTCTTAACAGTTATATTTTAGTATTATTTATGTACTATTTTAGTATTCATATTTTGAATTAGCATTTATTTTTATATTTTCAGTTTTAATTTTTATTTTGTTTATACTTTAGTAATTTTGTTTTTGCCATTTATTCATTTTTTGTATTTCTATTTAGCTTTAATTTATTTTTATTTCAGTTGTTGTGTTAGAAATTTTTAGTTTTGAACTTTTTTTTAATTTTAGTTATTTGCCAAGGCATTTATAATTTTCATTTTATGTTTAAAGGGATAGTTCACCCAAAAATGAAAATTCTGTCATTAATTACTCACCCTCATGTCATTCTAAACCTGTAAGACCTCCGTTCATCTTCGGAACACAAATTAAGATATTTTTGATGAATTCTGAGAGCTCTCTGACCCTCCCATAGACAGCAATGTAATTACCACGATCAAGGTCCAGAAACATAGCAAGGAGATCGGTAAAATAATCCATGTGACATCAGGGGTTCAACCGTAATTTTTTACGAAGCTTCGAGAATACTTTTTGTGAGCAAAGAAAACTAAAATAATGACTTTATTCAACAATTTGTCTCCTCCACGTCACCCTGGTGCCATTTTGGAGAATATCCGCGCGGATACGTTTTCTACGTTGTTTATGTTTTGATTTGAAAACAACGTATCCGCGTGACGCAGCTGACACAGAATAGCATACGCTGTTTACGTTCAGTGGATATTCTCCAAAATGGCACCAGGGTGACGTGGAGGAGACAAATTGTTGAATAAAGTCGTTATTTTAGTTTTCTTTGCGCACAAAAAGTATTCTCGTAGCTTCGTAAAATTACGGTTGAACCCCTGATGTCACATGGATTATTTTACCGATCTCCTTGCTACGTTTCTGGACCTTGATCGTGGTAATTACATTGCTGTCTATGGGAGGGTCAGAGAGCTCTCAGAATTCATAAAAAATATCTTAATTTGTGTTCCAAAGATGAACGGAGGTTTTACGGGTTTAGAACGACATGAGGGTGAGTAATTACCGACAGAATTTTCATTATTGGGTGAACTTACCCTTTAAGAATTTGTCTAATATATATATTTTTTTATTTCAGCTTTATTTACTTTTTTTTAAATAGTTTTATTTAACAACACTGACTCAAAGTTCACCCAAAAATGAAAAAAATTTGATCATTTGCTCACCATCATATCCTACCAAACCAGTATGGTTCTTTTAGTCCATACAACTTTTGAAGCCAAACGATAGCTTTGTGTGAGTGTAAAAGCTTTTTTCCTAACACGAGCTGTCATATGGATTCAAAAGACTTGGAATATAGTGCACAAGTCAAATGAACTGCTGTTATGGTGCTTTTATTGTGTTGTTATTGGACAGATGGTCACCATTCACTTTTGTAAAAAAGAACAGCATCAACATTCTGCCTGACATCCTTTGTGTTCGATGCTGGGAAAGAAAACCATATGGTTTGGAACAACATGAGACTGAGCAAATGATGACGGGTTGTTTTTGGGTGAACTGTCTCTTTAAATGATCTCAAAGCTAAATATTCATGCTATTAATAAATCCTGCTTTATGCTTTGAAGCATCAGACAAGAAATCCCACAGCTAAGGGAATGATACACTGTTTCTTATCCAACTATTCGATTTCGCGAGCAGCTGGGCGTTCAGAGTTGGGCTGTGTCCTGACAGATTGGTTCAGAGACGAGTGGTTCTGTAGGAAGTGCGTGGCGTTTGTGAGCAGCGGGCTGCGTACGGCGAAAGAGAATTCTGGATGTTTGCGGCTGTGTGTGAGAGCTGGCGTTTATAATAACATGTGATTGATTTCTGCTGTAATGAAGCATCTGCTCTCTCACATCCCGACACACAAACACACTCACACGCTCTCACTCGCTCGCACTTCAACAGCAGGCTGGTGGGCGGAAGCAACAGTGTTCCTGTTTGAGGAGCGTTTTAGATGCTCTCTCGCTCTCTCTTTTTCTTGCTCTCTTCTTCCGTGGCTCGTCAGCCGTCCTCTCTGTGCTCTCATTACTGTAATTACCTCGTCCCGTGTGGTGACTCAGTGGTAGAGGAGGCGTGGGAGTGTCCGAGCGTCACTCCACGCACTTACCCTCATATGTCATTCCCTTATTATTTATTCGGCCTCTGTTCACTCTCTTTTAAAAAAAAAAAAAAAAAGGGATGTATTATTTTTATATTATTTTTTCCTTTTGAAGTTCTATGATAACTTAATTAAGATTTCTTGACTATTTAATACCCTCTTCAACAATGACCCATCCAAGTTAAAGAATAGACATTGACATAATTTCTTAGCATAAAAATTTATTAATTTTATTTATATGTACTTATTTAGTTAATTTTATAAGTGCCCTTTATGGGGTGTTTGGATAGAGAGAAAAAAATGAATTATCCAAAAAAAGGACACACTGCAGCTATTTGCCTTGGCTATTTCATGATAGAAAATATTGAGTAGAGAAATTGATTATGATTAAAAAAATATATGTGGATTGCCTTTTTAAATTGAAATATTTTTTAGATATTTGTTTATATCCTTTTATATTTTTATATTTATTTTCTATAATGTTTATATTTGTATT